GGCAGCATGGCTGGAGCTACCAGGAGAGGATCTGCAGGTGGAGGGCTTGGGTTGGGTACCTAGTAACTTGAGCAAGTCACCCAAGCCCTCCAGGCCTCAGTTTCCTCATCCCCTGTAACATGAGGAGGATAGACGGTTTTACCTCATATTCATTGCAGGTCTAAATCTATACCCTATGATTAAAATCCTTCGATCCTAGAAAAATCAAATCAGTTACATCCACCTGGAGGACTGACACATTAGTAAACATGGTTACGAGGGATATTCAGTGAGAGATATATCTTTTGTAAAAGTGTTGAGGATCAATGTGGCTCCAGAATCACCGAGATGAAAGAAAAGGGGCTGCTGAAACAAAAGAAAATTGGGAAGATAAAGAAGAGAGGCACAAAGACTCAAGTATTGGAAGGTCTAGCATGTCAAAGAAGGCTCCAACTTGTTTTGCTGGCCCTCAGACCCCAGAAAGAGGGGAAATGGGAAGGAGCAACTGAGAGGCAGACGGGAGGTCCCGATCCTGCTGTGGGGCAGGCACTGGACAAAGTCCTCACAAATCTGGGTTCACCCAGACTGGCTGAGTGACCCTAGGCAAGTCACTTAAACTCTCAGTGTCCCAGGCAATGGTAAAAGGATAAACAGCCTTCAGACAAGTGTCTGATCCCCACTGATTGAGGGAGTTTCTACACCAATGAAATTACAGATCCAGACCAAGTGGCCTGGGGTACTCAGCAGGCTCTCATCTCTGAAGGCCTTGAAGATCTCCATAGAGATCTACAGAGGAACTCCCTTCCAACTCTGCCACTGTCTGACCTTATACCAAGGCTGACTAAGGCTAGGGGCTCAGACTGAAGCGACACAGGAAAGAAACAAACTAAAGGACTTTTCTATACTTTACCAAAAACACTTTATACACATAAACTCTTCGGATAGCCACAAAAACCCATGAGGTAGGTGCTGCTAGTATCCCTATCATAAAAAAGCAAAACAAAACAAAGCCAAAAACAGAGATGTGAAGAAGTGACTTGCCCAGAGTTACTAGCATCTAACGCAGAATTTCAAACTAGGACTTCCAGTTTACCACTTCACCAGATTGCCTCTAAGAAGGGGAAATTCAATAATAGATAGCACTTATATAACATTTTAAGGCTTTCCAAGTGCTTTACATATATGATCTCATTTGGTACAGGCTATTATCACCATTTTACAGATAAAAGAAACTGAGGCAGACAGAGGTAACATGACTTACTTGGGCTCACACACTGAGGAAGTATCTGAGGGCAGATCTGAATTCAGGTCGTCCTGACTCTCCAGGTCCAGTGCTCTGTTCTCCACCACCTAGCTGCTAGTTAGCAGCACTAAGTGAGAAGATAAATGAAACAGCTAGAAGAGGATTTAGGATTATTGGAGTCATCATAAGGAACAGAGCGATGGCCAAGTTTTAAGTGTGGAAGACCTGGGCATGAGAATTTCATTTCAGACAAGTACTAGCTACCCGACCACAAGCAAAACAATAAGCCTCAGTCTTCTTGTGTGTAAAATAATCAATCGATAAATATTTATTAAGCACCTACTAAGGCCTAGGCACCCTGTTAAGTACAGAGGATTAAAAAGAGGCCAAAGACAAACCCCTAGGGACAGTACCGGTCTCGGTGACTCAAATCAAAATAGTTAAATCACTTTGTAAACTTCAAAGCACTGTAGTTATCATTAGTACTAGCTACCTATTCTATGGCACAACTGCTAGGCCACAACAAAAAATTAGAAGGATGAATAATTAGCCAATCTCCAAAACTGTTTCATAGGGCCAAAGAGGCTGAGTATTCCACATGAGGCAGCGTGGCCAACTACCAGGCCTCAATTCCCTTATCTAGGCAGAATGTCCACAGTGAAGCTCTACCTCCCTCACCTGGCCTGGTCCCATCCCCATCAGCTCCCAAACAACGGTGTGATACAACCCAACTCAATAACCATAGAGTCCCTATCTTATAAAGATTAAAGGAAAGGAAATGACTTTTTTGGCAACACCATACACTCTGTCAAGGAAGCCAGCTAGGCTTCAAGTCAGAAAGCCTGGGTTAGCTTCTGCCCCTCACAGTCCCTGCGACCTCAGTCAAGTCACTATCTCCCTGGGCTCCATTTTCTTCATCTGAAAAGCGAGTTCAACCAAGTTGTTACTAGACCATCTTTGAAAAGGTCCCCTCTGAGTTCTAAATCCAAGACCCTCTTAACCTGCTCCACCCTTCATCACAGGGAAGCTTGGGAAACCTGAAAATGGGGGCTAATGCAACAATGTTTGGGGAGGTGGATAGAATAATGCAAATACTAGGAAAACAAGATCAATGGGAATGCCAACATCATTTTACAGGAAGGATGATAAGTGTCTTTATATCTCATGACAGGGATGTCAAAGGCAAATGAGTAATACCTCCATGTTACAGTCTTGCTGTTAACTTCAGATGTCTAAGACTGGGGGTTTAACCTGGAGTTAAAGTGAGGGCATCTGGATGGCACTTTGGATAGGGTCAGGCCTAGAGTCTGGGAGACTCATCTTCCTGAGTTCAAATCTGGCCTCAGACATTTACTAGCTGGGTGACCCTGGGCAAGTCCACTTAACCCTGTTTACTTCAGTTTCCTCACGTGTAAAATGAACTGGAAAAGGAAAGAGCAAACCACTCCAGTATCTCTGCCAAGAAAACCCCAAATGAGGGTTACAGAGTGTTGGACACAACTGAAAAAAAAAAAAAAGCTAAACTGAAGGCCTAATTGTAACAGAGGAAAGAGCACTGGATTGGGTGTCAGAGGACCTAGATTTGAATTTGCTGTTTCTACATTATGTGAGCTTGGGCTGACTTAACTTCTCCAAGTCTCAGTTTCATCATCTAATACCTGACTGGACCTTGATCAGCTCTAAGATCCCTTCCAGGTCTGAAATATACATAACTGGGCCCTTTAACAAGGCTTTATAGCAGAGCGTTATGTTGAACTGTGAGTAATTGTGAGCTCCCAGAAAGCAGGGAATCGCTTTTACCTTTCTATCCCTGAGGGAAGTGACTGGTACACAGCAGGTGCTTAACTAATGTTTGCTGACACTGGTTCGCCTTTAGCATCTGCCAGTAAAATGGTTGGGCAATCTTCAACAGTCAGTTTTCTCCTTGGTAGAATGATCTCTCAAGGTCCAAAAGTTTCAACTACCTAAATTCTGCAGCAACCAATTTCTTCTTTTCCAATCTGAGAAAATCCTCAATAGTACCTTCTCTACAAACGTGATAAAAGCATGGAATCGAAATCTGACTGCAAGAATTTATTAAGCACCCACGTGCAAGGTACGGTGTTGAGTTTGGGAATACAGACTTAAAAAAAAAAAGTTCCTGTCCTCAAGATGCATATATTGTATCAGGGAAGTCTGAAAACTAGACTGAGAACGAAATGACTCAAGTTCCAGGCCAAACTCTATTATTGTGTGCCTCGAGCAAAAAAAAGATCTCTCTGGGCCTCAGTTTTCCCACCAGTAAAACAAGAAAGGCTGAATTCTATTTCAAAGATCTCTGATAGTCTACTGATTCTATGAATCATTCCAACTCCAGGTGTGATTTTTCTAGAAAGTGATATAATCAATGAAGATATAAGTGGAATATTTCATTGATTTGAATAAATTGGTAGTTAGTTTAAAAAGAAAAAAAAAGCCTACATTCGTGGAAAATCTGAAATTCCTAGCACAAATTCCTGCACTAGGACACAGGATGCCAATCCTTTTTACCCCCAAATCAACAAGTCAATAAGTATTTGTTAAGCTCTTACAAGGAGCCGAGCAGGGGCCAAGCGGCGGAATCCCCCACAAGCACAGAAGAACAGAGAAGCCTCCAGGCAGAGGGAATTCCACAAGTCCCCAGTCACTGCCAGGCGGAGAAGAGGAGAACAGTGGGGCAGAAAGCTCTCGGTGGGTCGTCCCACAGACGACGGGGAAGTCACGTTTCCACCTCCCGGCCAGGCCACGCAAGGCTACGGATTCTCCAGCTCGTCCCCACCCAGCTCTCCCAGGCCCGGTAAAGATACACTTTTCCAAGCAGAAAAACCCACAAACCAGCAGCTCTTATCGAGCGCCTGCTGCGTGCAGGCGCCGGGCGCACAATCAGTGCGCGGCCTCGTGGGGAGCACCTCCCCCTTTCCTCCCAGCCCCCGCTGGGGGGGGGGCAGCGGGCTCTTCCTGCAAGTTCAAGGGCTGGCGAGCATCCCCGGCGGCGTCGGACGCGCACCACAAACTAACTACCGTAATTACGGCTTGGAATTCCAGCCCAAAGCTGGGCAGCCCCTCCCCCCGCCCCGGATCCCCGGCCTCCGGACCCCCCCTCCCCCCGCCCGGGGAGGCCCCGCCGCATCCCGAGCGGGCACTTCCCGTCCACGCCCCGACCCCGCCACAGCCTCCAGGAAGCCCGAGCCTCGGGGCGCCAGCACGCGGCGCAGCCTGCAAGGGAGGCGCATTTACCGGGTTGCCCCCTTCGAGGCACCCCAAAGTCCCGGCCCCCCCCCGGAAGTGGCTCTCCAGCCCAGAGCGCGGCGGCCTGGAGACGACTCAGCTTCCACTCCCGCGTCCCGGCGCCTCCACGCCAGGGCCACGGAGCGTGCCCGGCTGCCCACGATACCCCTCGACAGGGCAGGGCAGGGCCCACCAAGTTTAAAATGTGCCTCGCGGGGTAGTGCGGGAGCCTCGAGGGCAGCCCGAGATCCGGGGAGGGGAAGGGGAGAGCCCCTGAAGGCAGGACAGCCCCCCGGGATCGGCAGGGCCCGGCACGCCCGGGGGCACCCCGAGAGGCGGCAAGGGAAACGGAGCGCGGCCCCTTTAAGAGGCCTTCAAGGCGCTCAGGGGCCCGGGGCCTCTTCGCCTGCCACGGCCCGGCGTGGGGGGGACCCTTTCCCAGGGAAAGCCATACCCTCCGACCGGTCCCCCGAGGCTCCCCCTCCTGCCAGGTCCCGCCCGGCCCAGCCCCGGTCCGGCGGCTCCTCCTTACCCCACTGTCGGCCGCCTCCTCCCAGCTCTCAGCGACCTCCTCATCTTCCATCTTACTCGCCGCTTCCCACCCCCCTCCCCGCGCCTGCGCCCTACGCCCTACGCCCTGCACCCCGCCCCCCCCGCGCTGGCGGCGCGCCTCCGCTAGGGCGCGGGCGCGCACGGCATCTCTGGCCTCCGAGGCCCCATCTCCGCCTCCGGCCACGCCCCCATCCCGAGGCCCCGCTCGTTCAGCTCCCGGAAGAGGTCCCGGGACAGCGTGCACGCGTCGCCGCCGGCGGACATGTCGAAGAAGGGCATAGACGTCTTTGAGGCGCCATCTTTCTTAAGAGCAAGCAGCCGTAGTAGGGGGCGGCGAAAGCAAAGTCCAAAGATCTGCGAGCTTTCAGTGTGGTCAAGTGACTCTTGAGGCGCCATGTTGTCTGAGGGTCGCGAAGTCCTAAGAACTTTTCACCAGTGTTTGAAGCGCTTGGCATAGTGGATAATCAGTAAACAAGCATTTTCAAGCGCTTAGCACTGTGTTCTAAAGAAAGGTCAAAGCCAGCTCCTGCCCTCAAGGAGCTTACAATCTAATAGAGGAAATAATATGCAAACACCTATGTACAAACAAGCTATAGACAGGATAAACAGAAAATAATTAACAGAGAAGGTATTGGAATGAAGGGGGATTGGGAAAGATGAGGAAGGAGAGCATTCCAAGCATGGGGGACGGAGAGCCAGAGAAAAAGCTAGATCTCATCAGCCCTAAGACTCACACCTCCTCAGCGTCCCTGGCTCCTGGGGGCCCTCCTTCCCTCTGATTAGAGAGGGTGGACGTTGGGGAGCCTCTCTCAGATCCCCCCATTTAAAGAAGGGGCCCGGGGCAGCCGCCTCATCATTGCCCACCTGGCTGGCCTCCCTTGGGCATCGCCATCGTCTCCAGAAACTCATCTTCAGGCTAGATGAAATTACTCTGAAACTCACACTTCCTCCCAGTACCTCCTGCCCTTGCGCGCCGCCCCCCCAATGGAGAAGGTAGAAGACGGACAGTGGGGAGCTCCTCCCAGATCTTCCATTTAAGGAAGGGGCCCGGGGCAGCCGCCTCTTCATTGCCCACCCACTGACAAGTGAGTACACCTTGAAGCTTCACTACGCTATCCTTCGTATCCCCAGTACTTAGCAAAGTGCTGGGCACATAGTAGGCGCTTAATAAATGTTAGTTACTGACTGGATGAAGAAGAGGAGCGGGGCATAGACCATGAAGGGCTTTGAATATCAAAGGATTTTATATTTGTTCCTGGAGGTGTTAGGGAGTTTATGGGGGGGGGGTGGCGCCGCCGCCACGGGGAAGAGTTGACATAATCAGACCTTTCTTTTAGAAAATTGCTTTGGCCTCTAAATGGAGGATGGACTCCACTGGAAAAGAAATTTGAAGCGGCCAGACCCCACCAGCAGGCTATTGCAATAATCCAGGCATGAGGTGATGAGGGCCTGCACCAGAATGGCGGCAGTGTAAGAGGCGGGAAGGGGGTGTGTTCAAGAGCTGTTGCAAAAGTGAAATTGACAGGCCTTGGCAACAGATGGCTTGTGGGAGAGAAGGGTGAAAGTGAAATACATCATATCACTTAGGCTGTTAGCCTGAGGTACTGGGAGGATGGTGATACCCTCTGCAGTAATAGGGAAGGTGAGGGGGTGGGGATGGTTTAGAGGAAAGAGATAATGAGTTGAGTTTTGGAGATGTTGAGTTTAAAATGTCAATAGGAGGTCTGGTTCAAGATGTCTAATAGACAACTGGAGATTAGAGGCTGGGGGTCAGCAGAGAGATTAAGGCTGGACAAATAGATCTGAGAATCACCAATACAGAGATGATAATTGAAACCATGAAAACATGAGATCACCAGGTGAAATAATTGAGAGGGAGAAGAGAGCCTGTGACAGAGCTCTGGGGGATACTCATGGTTAGAGGGTGTGGCCTGGAAAAAAGGTGCAGTAAAGGAGACCAAGAAGGATGGGTCAGATAGGTGGGACGAGAATCAGGTGGAAATAGTGTCATGAAAACCTAGAGAGGAAAAAATTATAAAGGAGAAGAGGGTGAGCAACAGTGGCAAAGGCTGCAGAGAGGTCAGGAAGGATGAGGATTGAGAAAAGGATTTGGCAATTAAGAGATCATTGGTAACTTTGGCGAGAGCACTTCCAGTTGAATGATGTCGTTGAAAGTCAGATTGTAGAGAGTGAAAAGACTAGCTGGGTGACCCTGGGCAGGTCATTTAATCTCTGCCTCAGTTTCCTTAATTATAAAATGGGGATAATAACAGCAACTACTTTTTTCTTAATTTATAATTTTCAACATTCACTTTTATAATATTTTGAGTTCTAAAATTTCCTCCCTCACCCCTCCCCAAGATAGCAAACAATCTGATATAGGCTATACATGTACAATCATATTACACATATTTCCACATTAGTCATGCTGTAAAGAAGAATCAGAACCTAAGGGGAAAACCATGAGAAAGAAAAAAAAGAGAGAGAAAAAATAGTATGCTTTGATCTGCATTCAGACCCTATAGTTCTTTTTCTGGATGTAGATACCATTTTCCATCTTTAAGTCTTTTGGACTTGTCTTAGATCATTAACAGCACCTACTTCCAAAGGATTGTTGTGAGGATCAAATGAGATATTTGTGAAGTGCTTATCACAGTGCCTTACACATAGTAGGCCCTACATAAATGCTAGTTGTGATGATGATGATGATGATGATGATGATGATGATGATGATGATGGGAAGCAGGGTGGAGATGCTTACAAACAGCCTTCTCCACCTCCTCTTCAAGACTTTAGCCACAAAATGGAAGAGAGATATGGGATGATAGCTAAGTGAATAGATGGACCAAGTGAGGGGTTTTTTGAGACTGAGTTAGACATGGATGTGTTTGTTGGCCAGTAGTGAAGCAACCAGTAGTTGGGATTGGAGAAGGAGCCATCTGCTGGAGAAGCTGACCTTGGATCCAGAAAGCCCTGAATCCAAGCCTAGCCTCCATCACAAAGTATCTGAATGGCACTGGGCAAGTGACTCAACCTCTTAGCATTCAGAGATAGTGCTGCCCTACAGCAAGGGCAACGAGGTGGCACAGTGGATAGCGCAGTCAGTCCGGGATCCAGGAGGACCTGAGTTCAAATCTGGCCTCAGACACATAACACTTACTAGCTGTGTGACCCTGGGCAAGTCACTTAATCCCATTAATGGCCTAACCAAAATAAATAAATAAATAAAAAGTTAAAGAATTTTTAAAAAGGTAGTGCTGCTCTACCTTGGTGGAGAGAGTTTCTTTACCTGGAAACTTAGACCAACAGAACCCAAACCAACAAACCCAGTGCCTATCCCTTGAACTGCAGAAGAGTCAGCATTTGTGAAAGGATCCCTGAATTTGGAGGCAGGCCTTCAGTTCAAATTGAGGTTCTACCCTTTGTTACCTATGTCCTGAGGCAAGTCTCCACACTTCTCCAGGGCAGCATTTCCTCATCTGCAAAATGGCAGAGTTGGAATAGGTGGCCATTACGGTCGATGTCAGCCCTGCTTCTGAGATCTTCAGAGTAAGAGCTGGAAAGTCAGTCAGTCAGTCAATAAGCATTTAAGTGCCTACAATGTGTCAGGCACTGTGCCAAGTGCTGGGGATACAAAGAAGAGGAATTTACAAAAATCATCCGGTTTGACCCTCCCCTTTTACAGACAGAAAAACTGAAACTCCAAGAGGGGAAGGAGATTGTGAATTGGAGAGCTGGGCCATGAATTCTAAAACCTCCTTGTTTCCCACCTGGCTGAACTCCTTTGGGACTACACTGACTTCTGCAGTGACTCCTGTTGTTGGTACCTTCCCCCTTCAACCCCTTTCTGATCCCTTTTGTGCATTGCCTTGCCCCATTTTAGATTGTAAACTCCATGAGGTCAGGGACCGTCTCTCTTTCTCCTTTGTATCCCCAGTGCTTAGGTAGACACTTAATGAATGCTTATTTATTGACCATGCCCAGTAATCTCTGTTCTGTATCACATTTTCAATCTTGGAATGCCTAATATTCAACATTTACTAACTTCCCACTACGGAGGTGAGGAGGATATGATATATCAGCAGTTAAATTAATTCAGATTCATTTCAGGAGAGTGCACTTAACCCCTATGGATCTCAGGTGGCCCCTGAGCAGGTGGCAAACTTCCAAGAGGTGGAAGAGTAGAGAGGGCAAGGACCTGGCAGGAGAGACAGCCTATGTAAAGACAAGAAGGCCTGCTGAGTTTGGGAAGCAGCAGATAGGCCAGTTTGGCTGGAACACGCAGTATGGGAAGGGGAATAATAAGAAAGAAGCCTGAAAAAGTAGGTGGGAGCCAGGCTGGTTTTAAATACTAGACTGAGGAGTTTGTATTGAATCCTAGAGGCAGCAAGGAGACATTGAAGGTTTTTGAATAGGGGAATGGCCTGGTCAGAGTGACATGTTTTGGCAATATTAGTTTGGCATCTGTGTGGAAGATGGGTTAAAGAGGGAAGTGACTGGAAGCAGAAAGATAAGTTAGGAGGCTGTTGAAATAGTCTAGGCAAAATAGAGGCTGCAACTGGGAGGTGACCGTGTCAGAGAGAAGGCGACTGATGAGGCACTACAGCAGAATTGGCAAGACTCTTGGTAATATTATAGTTTGTGTTCACAATGCCCTGTGTTTTTTTTAAAATGTTTTATTAATGCTATTTCCTCTTTTTACATCACTAATGCTTCCCAAGGACTTGCCTGCTTACAAGAGAACCCTCCCATAGTCAAGCAAAACAGATCAATACGTGAATATATTTGAAAATGGGTGGCTCATTTTGCGCCTGTTATCCACCAACGTCTCTGCCAAGAGGTGGAAGGGATGTTTCACCTTCAGCTCTGACCTCGTGCTTGGTCATTGCCCATACTGCAGATGAGGCAGCCAAACCTGAGGTGGGTTATGACTTGCTCAAGGTCACACAGCTAGGAAGTGATAGAAATCCGAGTTTTACCCTGGTAAATTTCATTCTGGGGAAATTTGCTTCCTTGCTTTAGTCTAGGAGATGAAGTTCTTTTAAGGTGTTAGGGGAAGAAGCTATCTAGAATACTCTGCATGAGGCATTGCATCATTTCATGAAGAAAGGCAAAATAGACTCCAAAGGCATTCAGACAGTCTCCTTGGGCCTCTGATTTTGAGACCCTACAATACATAACTAGCTTAGACCAATCAGGAGCTGACTGGCATCACTTAGCACAGACTCAGACAGCGGCAGAATACAGTTCCACTTTTCTAGTTACAGCTTTTGTAAGATAGCCTGGGAGGATGCTTTGACTAAGATCAGGTAGCCCATTATACTCAGTGTTAGAGGTGGGTGTCAGAGGTGGGATCTGAAGGAAGGTCTTCCTGTTTCCAAGTCTTTACATACTTCGTTGCAGCACTGGCATTCTCTCACTCTGCCAGTTTCTGGGACAGAACTAATACAACTTTTTTTTCTTTTTAGCTTTCAACATTCACTTTTATAAGGTTTTGAGTTCCAAATTTTTTTCTCTCTCCCTCACCTCCCCTTTCGCCTTCCCCAAGACAGCAAGCAATCTGATATAGGCTATATGTGTATTTCCACATTTAGTCATGTTGTAAAAGAAGAATCAGAACAAAAGGGAAAAACCACAAGAAAGGGAAAAAAAAGAGAAAATGCTACTACAACTTTTGTTAACCTCATTTTACAAATGAGGAAACTGAGGCATAGAGAAGTTAAGTTGCTTGACCCCATGATCATATGGTCAGTAAGCACCAGAGTTAGGTTTCAAGTGCAGGTCTCCGAATTCTGAATCCAATACTCTGTTAGAGCCAGATGCCTGTCACAATAAAGTAAGATGTGGTTTTGCTTAGCAGATAGAGAAGACACAGATAACTGTAATACTAAAGATTTACTGTGGAGGATGAAGTCCTCCAGAAGCTCTGGTTTCCAGATGATGTTGCATAAAGCTACAAAACATTGAAATTTCCCAAAAAAGGTGTATAATCCATCATACTTCACCCTTTCCTCATTCCAGTGATTCTGAATCCCCCAGCTGTCGTCATTTAAACCCTGTTTCCCATCTACCTACTACCTGTTTC